GTTCTGTAGTTTTTGTACAGCTACAAGATTTTTCAATTGATGGACGTCAGGCGGTGTATTGACGTTAGTCACACAGCCTGGTCGGGTTGATGGGGCAAAGCAGCCCGAGAATAAAAGTAAATTAATAAATGAAAATGAAAACAGGAACTTTCAGAGGAGATGTGCCTTGAATTTTTGAGAGAAGTGATCAATGAATTACATGTGTTACACTTACAGTGTAGTTAAATCAATGGTGTTTTTGTGTTTTTTCACTATTGTTTGACAAGCATTTTTGTTTTAAAATTTGGGCGAGTAGGCCTACATATTCCGTTTGGGCGAGTTAACTTATTGACTCACTCGCCCAGTTTGGCCGAGTGGTTTATATTTTAAGTTGCGGATGAAAAGATAGACGGCAGCAGAGCGTACCGTTGCGCAATCATGCGTGTACGCGAGTCGCGCGATCACTATGTGAGTGGATGTCCGGACGCGTAGCCTGGACTTTGGAGGCTAAGCGACCGGTTCCGGACGCGTAGCCACTGCGATAAAATAAACTCTTATCTTATCTTACTGTTATTTTACATTATAATAATATTACATATTTCGGAATGCAAATACACTCCACGTACCTTCTGTATCTCAGAATTGTACACACTTACGTGTACGACAGAATTATTAAACGTATTTACTATTTAGAAACTTGTTGTTACCAATAATATCACATCAAAAGTCATAACTAAGTACCATCACATGCAAGACCGAAACTGTTTACCAAACACCATCCAACAAACCTTGCATCCAACATCTCAACCGCACCCGCCACCTAGCGGACAAAAAAGTACTTGAAAATAACCTCATAGAAAACTGTTTTTTTAATAGTTGTCAATGCAGAATAAATCTGGAAGAGACGTAGCTATGCCGATGCATTCGGGTGTTGTGGAAGCTGGTCGAGCGGGATAAGGCGTGCAGAGAATGTTGTTGATGAGATGAGGAAAACTTGATATATTGGGGAAGTGGCGGACGGATTAGGGAGTAGAGTAGAAGAGGAATCGAGGAAACGTGGAATAGGAGGGCAGGAAGGAAAAAAGGAGGGGATATGTATGGAAGTGGGGGAGGGTATGTGAGGGGTAAGTGGTAGAGAGAAAGTAGAGTAGAGAAGTATTGAATATACATGGCCAGTTCTGTTGGAAGCTGAAAAAAATTAATTGTGGACACAAAGAAAGAAAGAGGACATTGAGGAGAATAGAGAGTAGATGAGAATACATAGAAATAATAGAAAATGATAGGTATGACGGGTGGAGGGCGAGCATATGGAAGAGGACTGGTAAGCAGTAGTGATTATAGGTAGGAGCTACCAGGAAAGAAATTGCTGATGCTTCAAAACCTCTACATGTAAAACTTGGTGATACATTTGGTGATACATTTAGTGTGTAAATCTGTTCATTGTTTTGACCTTGAAGAGTAACCTTCATGTGCACGAATTACGTTAGAGCACACATGTACATATGGTATATGTTCTAATTCATGTATGTAGGTATCTTCTAAATAATATCCAGATGTACTCGAGAAATATTAGGAAGGCAGCAGTATAAATGAGTTTAATTTATTTTTCGACACAGACATGAGCTCACAATCAGTACTTCTAAATAATGCATTGCAAGATCGTGAAAATATTGTGTGACTGTAATAATGGTGAATGCATGTGTGCTAAAAGCATAATTAAGTCACAGCAGAGAAAACCAAACAATTAAAATGCAAAACGTCCAACATACTTTTGCTCACCTTCCACAACCAGGTATCTGTGGCACATCATGTACAATGGCTGACTCTATGTGTTTGTTTATACATTATTAGGCTTTCAATGTCATTCAAATATCACACTGTGCCTTGCAGATTGTGCCACATTCTAACGACAGAAATTATGAATTCATCAATCACATAATCAGTCCTGTCACAGACTGAGCTCAGTTACAATCTGAACATCTGTCATCCCCTTGTCTATGGCTCTATGGATCGGGCAGCGTCAAGTTGAGAGCCGATAACCAGTTCTGCTTACTAACATTTATGCACCTCGCTTGCGCAGTTATGCTGGAAGGGCCCGGTCCATTCACATCCACTATAACAATCAGAATATATAAACATATAATTCAGAATAGTAGATGTACAAAGTATGTTAGAGCAACAATAATTCCGTTTTCTATACTATTGGCAGTTAAATATAGGCTACATCCCATTTTCTACTATGCCGCACCAATTAATATAAAATTAATGGCAAATAAAAAATTGAAACATTGCATTTGTCTATTATAGATGGAGCTTTGGTGCCCCTTTCTCATCTCTCTCTCTCTCTCTCTCTCTCTCTCTCTGTCTGTCTCTCTCTCTCTCTGTCTTTTTTTCTGTCTCTCTCTCTTTTTTCTCACTCTCTGTCCCTTACACTCAGTCATAGACTGGATGAATTTCCAATGACCTACGTGTGTATGTCTTTGACTGTCCATCCTCAGATTGTTTCTCTTCTTCAACGTCCTCTGTCTTCACGAAGGAGTTATCAACGTTAACTTCAGAAGCAGTTAGCTGCATGCTTCCACGGATGCTGTTGTCCAGCTTCATCGTAATGCAACCTATACATGGCATAACAAAAATATTCTAGTAAAAGTTAATTTCTCACACAAATATTATTTCTCACATGATTATTGCGCTCGTGACGATCGGTTATCTGGGTAGAAGAAAGTGTAAGCATTCCAAAGACACTGAGTATAGGATATGTCATAGCAATAAAGCGATCATAAGGCAAATCATTTGTGAAAAATATGTTCACCATGCTGTGAATACTCGTTTTCATTTTCTTAATTATTTTACTTGAGGCAACCAATGATGACACTATAAGGCAGTGATAACATACAGGAAGTAAGCACAGTGGTTAACATCAGCGACATTTTTTTCTCAATGAATTTAAGAAGCTTTCAAAATGAAATGTTCAAATTGCACAGTAATGGAGATTACTACCTTCAGAAGATAGATGAGTGTCCTGTGTCCTTGAAACATGGATATCCACATCGCCTTTGCTTGACAGCTTCAAGTCACCATCCAGTGTACCTAAAGAAACAATGCTCTATCTATACAACTGCTCTGGTATATATATACAGGAGTCTATCAATACACTCCTGATATATATATATATATATATATATATAAATTTATATAGTATATATTACATATCTATTGATAGATTCCTGATATATATAAATTTTGTAAACAAATATTTTTCATTTTTAATTTATCGACCCATTTTTGTCTCTCGTTCTTCGTGCACGGCACTATTCCTATTCACGAATCTATTGGTAGATCCAGGAAGGGTGATTGTATTCAGGTCTGATATTGAAAACCCACGGCATATTCTCATGAGTTTGCTCACATAAACTGATGTCTGATCCTACGATTGCTGACACTGCTGCAGGTGTCATGATAGATTTCCTGCAGCAAATTATGACGTGGTGATATATGTCAAACAAAAACTGTCAACAACAATGACAAAGAAAGCATATAATGGTGCTGATTACTGGATATGTATACAGTATGGGCTTTTACTCCCTCAGACAATAAGGGCACAGGGCTGGGAAAAAGCAGGTCGCAGAGTTATGGCCGCAGCCTAGTGCACTTCTAATCAAAACCCCTCAATTTTAAAATACTTAACCCATTTATATCCAACCATAATATGCACAGCACTTTCGGATGCTCTATTAATGAGGAAACCTTATCGACTATATGTATAAATCAAATGGGACGATGAGGCAAGATCCCTTACATTTAGTTTAATAGCGCATCATCCACATTTATCAGCATTTTAAACAAGCGGTTGCTTTTTTCAGGCGGCAGCCTAACTTATCTCATAGGGTCTATGTCACCCAGAGTACTTGCCGACGGTACGCCTGTTCACTATTGATCATGTTAGGGTTAGGAATAGGGTAGGGTTAGGTCGTTAGGGAGTCGGCGTAGGCAACTCCCTAGACTCGTTAGTGGTAGGGCGAGGTACGGTCCGGCTATATGAGTACCAGGGTTACGTTCTGCATGGTATTACCAACCGGACCATTGTACGTTCCGGCAATACCCCGAGGGGACATAGACCCTCTCAGCCTAACTTACCCAAACAGAGATTCCCCGCTATCAGTCGTGACATGAGGACTTGCATCAGGGCATAAACTACTTTCGCACTGACGTCTGCCTTTCGCCGTGTGGACAGAAATGTGATTTCCTTGTAATTCGTCTGCACTCACATTCTGCCCCACGAGAAAACGATGATGGGCTAGCATTTTCGCATGCAGGTCGTCATCAGTGTGTGGCATACAGCTTGCTACAAGTGTTTGGAGCTCATAGCAATGGCAGCCAAGATGATAAAAGCCCCCCCCACAATCATTACCATCTGACACTGACAGCACCAGAGACGAAGACCACGACACGCCGACATGAATCTTTCTCATGCAATCCAATGTGAGTGGTGGTCAATTTTATTTCCCCTGCAGTCAGGGAGCTCTATAGGTTATTCTTAGCAAGCTACGGAAACATATTTTTTCCTCTTAGCGCATTCAGGATTAGTGACAAACTCTTTGTGTGAATCAATTTCATAGCCATTCAGACATGGTAGACGATGACTACACAATTTCGACATTTCTATGGACGCCAACATCCACATCCACTTTTCAGGACCCTCCACGACCCATATTGCTATTTTCTATGACTTTCCAGTCCAGAAAGCCTTTTCGAGAATTTTCCAGCGGGCTACGTTTATTTTTCATGAGATTTTCACAACTGGAAAATAGCATATTAAACGAACTGCTACTTTCCAAGGTCGATACCAATCTGTAATATCGATCAGTTGTGACTTACACGCAGTTCTTTGAGCCGCTGATGGCGATGTGCACCCTGAGCCAGCCCAAGCAGACTGGACATCACCATCATTGACATCACGCTCAGCTCCCTACCTGAATCAGACAAGCAACATTGTATGTAACTGTTAATTATCACGCAGCAACAAAAGCCGGGAATGAAGAAAGATGCAGTGCCTCGCTAGAGTTTACTGTATACGCTGTATATATTTCGGCAGTGGTTAATTTTCGCTCGAAACTTCGCGAACGCTTCCTGCGCCGACGCAAAATAACAAAAACTTGGGTGGAGTAATTCATAACCGAATAATACGAACAATTCATAATCACCGGGCGACGCGAAAGATTAACCCACTCGCGAAATTGTCCGTCAAGGTCTTGATTCGCAATAATTATCTGTAAACGAAAAATATGGCGCGCTGATTAAGTAGCTGCCGCACCTTAACACTGGCAAGTGTACAGCGCCCTCCTATTGATATGCAGAGTTGATACATCTGCTCTCCATGCTGGCGCAATGTGTAGGTTAGAATTCGGCTTAATGCTCACAGCTTGCCACATGTCTGAAGGTGATGAATGAGCCTTGTGAACAACTTATTCGATAATAAATGAAAACGCACCCACCGCACATGTACACGTTACCACACATGCGACACATATGCATACAACAGTTCTCAGGTTTTCCAGAAATTATCAAAAGTTATTCTAAATTCTCATTCTTTTGTGGTGTCGTGTTAGCGAATATCGGCTCCACCTCCATCAGGGCTCATGGCAAGTCGAAGTCTCATGCCGTTAGTTTTGAAAATCAACAAACATGTCCATTATGCCACTAAAAACAATGCTGAAAGCCTGCGTTGTCGTATTCCCCACCGCATAGTGCTGATAATTACCAGTTCCTTACGCATACCACTGTGCGGTAACCTTAAAGTTTCAGGTCCATCAGGCACCGTCAGCGCAACGTACTAGACAGCGATCAAGTGTGCCTCTAGACTTGAATCTGGTTCCCCCGGACGTTAAAACCGCGGGGCACGTCCTGTAGTGATTCACTTCAACCAAGCTCGCCCTACCCACATCAGTCCGCAGTTCTGTTCCCCCGCTGACCACCGCCAATCGAATTCGATCATGCAATAAAGAGTGGCGCCCCTGGACGGCGGATGCATCTGAAGATCACAGCAGGACCGGTCAACTTTGTTTCGCCGAGAAGCGCGGCGGTGCACTGCCATTGTCGTAGAAACGATCGTATCTGCCACCGCCTGCGGATGACATTGACGCTGGCTGGCCGCCCATGTATCCCACTCGCAAACTGGCGACAGACTCCTGTCTCCAGTATCTCGCATATCTCCGTTGCAAGTCTCTGTGCAGCGGCAAGACGGCCGCTCCAATGTCTCCCACAGCGATCATGTCGTTATGGCAGCAGTGCGACGAGCGTCTGTAAATGCGAAACTGTCTTAGCCATCTGGGACTAGATATAAATGCACCTATGCTTATAG